AACCATCATCATCGGTTCCTCCTCTCCGCATAGCAAATATTCTCATTGAGCCCAACTTAACATTAATCGATATGGTTCCAAGTTCATTTAATCCTCATGAAGAGCTCGATGATGATGATGATGATGATGAAGATGATATTATCTATCCAGAAGGTGTTACTGAGTTGCGTCCATATAAAATTGTGGCTCGTTATCGAAGAGCCATTGGTGAAACGACAGATTTTCGTCTCAAACCAATTCTTGTTAGTGAAGACTCGACAGAAACACTTGTGCTAGGACTCGAACACTTTGCTCAGCAACATAACTGTAGTTTGACTTTTACAGGTGAAAATCAACAATTCGATCAAAGTATCTATCAAGCAGCGGCTGGTGTCGCCGACTTAGGCAGTATTCATCTTTTGGCAACTGATGCTTTACTTACTGCTAACTTTCAATTCGAAATCGATCTTGATTATGATCGAGAAATTATTCAATCTGAAGAAAATATACAAAAATTTGTTGAAGGCTTTTGTGAAGCCATTTGCAAAGTGCTTTCTTGTGAAAATGGTAATGTTCGCGTGTTTTCTATTAATAAATTAGCTGACGAAGTAGGAAAAAGTCAAATAAACTTTGGTTTGACTACACATGAACAAAAAAGAACTGAACAATTAGCTCATGATCTAACGGTATGTAGCTGTTATTTGATTTTACAGAGAGATCATTTCGACAGATTTATTTATAGAATTCATATTCACTTCAGTTAACAAATAAATAAAGAACTTACATAAATGACCATCGAAAAAATAAGATATGAGTAGTTTCTTTCTGATAGATTATTTCTGGGAATGGATACTCATTGAAAAAATGTTGGATTTTTCAATCTTTTCTAAGGAACGAGACCCATTGACATTCATCTGCATCTTAGTTTGACAATAGAAATATGAAATACAGATCTTTTATTGATATAACAAAAAACAAATGCTTTATTTTATTTAGTATAAACGTACTATCCAATCAGCAACCTTTTGTGTTTTTGTTTCAGATTTATGCTCGTTCTGGCTTTGGAACTGACATTATTCTTCAACATGTTAAACCAGGAGAATATGAATGTTTATGGAAACCTATGGTTAGCTATTTACAAATACGACCTAGTGATTTAGATCCTCAATTCAACTTCGACTACAGGACATCAGGCTTACCTGAAAAACTTACACGTGGAAGTTATCCATATTATCTTCCACTTGGATGGTATCGCTATGCACTCAAAGTTCTCGATAAGTATAGTAACGATAATACTTGGATCGGCCAGGTGAACGCTGAAGGAGAATGGCCTGTTGCATTTTATGGAACACATTCTGATGCAGTTAGTAGTATTCTACAACATGGTTTATTGCCAAGTGTTGTCAAAACTGACACCATGAAACAAGAGGCAATTACACAAATCGGAGAAGAAGCGAATCAACCAGGATTTTATGTGACAACACATTGTGAAGGTGGATCATATCCTCAATATACTACACCGTTTACTGTGACTACATTTCCTAATAAGAGTGAGCAATTTAGTCTTGTTTTTCAATGTCGCGTTCAACCTGGCAAGTTTACAA